TGTATTCTCTCAGCTTCCCTCTTGTTATGTTTCACCAGGCAAATTCCCACTAAAACTCCAAATTAGGCTGTAAATGCAATGTGGCTTTTTTGCTGGCCTTCAGGAATATAGCCAGGGATTTAGCACCCTCTGATGGTAAATCCCTTTCGTGACAATTGTAGACATGGGTTTGGGGTTCAGGAGAAAAGCGTAATCCTCCCTGAGGATTTTAATAGTGCCTTAAGAGAAAACTTTATACTTACTCATTTGCAGTGGGATGCCTCTGTTCCGGAGTAGTTTACAATAAAGATGAGCCAGAACCAAAACCCCATCAGTAGATTGCATGGAGTTTTGTGGGGGTTCATTCATTTTAGGAACAGATTACTACTGCCATGGCCCCCTTTCTTTGGAATGAACAATCCAACAGCCCCGCTGTTTGCAACAGGGGGTTATCTTCTATATTAGGCTGTTTTCTTGAAAGACTTCTTTCTTACAGTACAGTTTGCAGTATGTTTTCATCTGACATTTACAATCTCACAGTGTGAAAAATGGGCCACATGATTTCAGTCTCTTTGCTATTGATAAAGGCCTCCATTATAATACTCAATAATCATCAGTGTCCTATTTTTGGTCACTCACAGCTGATGCTCTGGTATTCAATGGGCTGTTGAGACTGAACCCTTTTCCTGGAGACAGTTCCCCCAGGGCAAGCCTGAGGCATGCGTAAGTGGCAGTCTTGGAGGAAAGCTACCAGTAATACAATGTAAATATGCTGTAGATATACAGACTCCAGTTTCCAGGAGTGTCATTTGAATTACTTTTACCTCCAGTAAAGTGACATTCTCTATTCCCAAATTATCACAAATTGCCATCAACTTCAGTTGATCACTGATAATTTATATTAATGACTTGGAGATCCATTATGAATTAAATTTTGAAACTTAGTGAATCTTAACTTCATTCTTTGAGGTCATATACTCAGGCAGGGCAGGGCAGGGCAGGGCAGGGCAGAGATGAGGCCTAAAGAGATGTGAATTTTTCAAATGAATAAGGGACCTATGCTAGGATACTGCTTCCCATAATAGATTTTGTTCTATTTATTTTACAAGTATCCTGTTAATTATTTATTAATTCATTTCATGGTATGCTAATAAATGATCTATGACATATTTTGTGAAGGTACGGCAGTCTTGGTAACATTATACCTCAGTATGGCACTCAGTTACTAAATATTTGCTAAGAAGAAACCTGGGCATGAAACTCTGTGAAAACAGATAAGTGACTCTGTGTGAATGTACTTGTTTGTTTTATATTGTGTTTTGGAGTTTACAGCATGACAGGAAATGAAATGAGTAAGTTTTGCCAAACCGGCATTACCTGAATTAATTTATCCTAGAAAAGGTGGTTTGTGTTCAAACGTAAGCTTCTGCTCAGTTTGTTTTTCTCACTGTTCTAACCTTGGCCTTGTAGCAGGGATGACCAGCTGATAAAACACTTGATAGGGCCCTTAACTATACATGTGTAGTATGGTTGAGGTCCAAAGCCCTCAGGGACTAAACCAGCACAGCTATACAGAGCAAATAAATGTATTAGAAGACTTTTTCAAAATTATTGAACCAGTGGGTTAATATGAGCCAAACAGACTTACCCTTTTCCAGCACTAACATTATAAACACATCGTAGGAAAAGAAGCAGAGTCATAAACCTATTTCTGAAGATTGTGAACTATTAAATAAAGCAGGAGAACTTTGCTATAACTTACACTGTGCAAATTTTCATAAAACCCCTAGTGCTCTTCAATCTTGTCACCACAAACCCCTCATTCCTTTTTTTTTCCCATTCTGATGCAATGAACCCTTACTGGCAAGCTACACTCTGCAATGAATTAGCTCTTAGCTTCCTGGTATTGCCAGCTCTTGTGATGGTGTCATAAATGTTATTTGATATTTTTCTTGATGTCACAACTGCAGAAATTAAGATATTGCATGAGAATCTCTGCTTTGGTTAAAAAAAAATAGTTTCCAGGTCTCACAAGTGTGGTGAAGAGCTTAAAAAAGTAACTGAACCGTGATGATTTAGAAAGCAGAAGCTATAAGCATCCAGTATTTATTATTGCTTTAAAAAAAACTTATCGTTATTAGGTTAAGTCTCATAATTTGGGGGGGCATGACTTATTTTTTTCCACAGTAAGATTTGACAGTAATGGCTTCCTGTAAACTCTGACTCAGGAAAAATGCTTGGAATCCCCAAATGTTGGCTGGTTCAACAGGGAGCCCTCTCCCTGGTAGGGTTCAACAGGGCTTTCCCCAGGGACTGTCCAAAACCCCCTACAGCCTGCTATAAATCTGATTCCATTTGCTACTTAGTAGATAGCATAATGAGGCCAGTTTACTAGAACCCTCCTTCTCATAGAGTCACAGCCACCACTGCAAAGTCTGTGTAAAGACAAAAAAATTGGGATGATGGTGTTTTTCACACAGTTTGTACTGGTGTAAATGATTGAGCAAGATGAACAGGCCCCAGTGCCTCTGCTCATCTGCTGCATTAATTAGAGATCATCCCCTGGCTCTAAAGAGTCTCAAAGGGTTTGGAAACATTAGATCTGAGATTAGCAGCACTTTTTGGTTGAAGACATTTAGATGCGTGTTCTTTTTTTTGTTGTTGTTGTTCCTGCTGCTTTTTAGTTTAGGGTAAACAGTTTCTTTCCCCAATTCTAGAGATAGTGACTGGGAAAATCGGTCTAGAAATGTCAGGCGGTCCCCTTGTTTAGTAGCTTAGCCGAGCTCACATTTGGGAGGGCACTCAACATATCAGGAATCTAAAGGGAAACCTTTTTTTTCCCCACTCCCCCCAAAACTGGCTGTCTTGAAAAGTGGAAGAGAATGTGTAACAGTTGAAGCAGCAAAGGCTTCTGTTTACAGGGAAGTCATTAAACAGATATTACAAATTTGAAGTCAAGTCTCATCTGCTCTTAAATACTTTTTAAAATCTGGAAGACACTCTTTAAAATTTATTTTACAAACAATAATCAAGATAACAACAGGACTTCTATCCCAATTTTGAAGATTAGGAGGGGAAAAAACTTAACCAGCTAAGTGATTTGTTCAAAGACATAGACGGAGATACTAAAGCAAGGATAAAAAAAATAGGAATGCCTATGTACAACGTACATCTTTCCCACAAAATATGCAAGCCAGTTCATAAGCACCACGATAAGAGAGAGCTCAGGTAGGCACTGATTTATCCCTGTTTATATTTGTGTGTAATGCGTATGTGATTGTGTATATTTGTGTATAGTAGATCCCTGTTTATATTTGTGTGTGATGCTTTACAGACAGGCCCTTATCCCTTAAGAGTGTAAATTCAGACTAAAGCTTAAAACTGCATGGGCCATAAATGTCATTAGGGTAGCCAAAGTACAGTATGGTCTATGGCCACCTTCATCTTTAATATAGTGGTTCTTACTCTTTTTAGACTCCAGGCACCCCACATCAGGCTCAAGGCAGTCCTCACAAAATGCCAGCTTGTAGTTTTTTTTATTTTTCTGTAGAAAAAAAATGCTTGAGCAATGGAAAAATAATACAGCGATCAGAAAGACCACAACAGGTCAGAATTGTTTTAGCACCATTCTTATTTGAAACTGTTGGCTTTAATCTTGTGAATGTTTGCACAGAGAACAATGCTAGCCTTGTGTGGCATGTCTTACAACCCAGAATGGATCCCAAGGCATCCTAAGGTGCTGCAGCAGCCTGGTTGAAAAATCCGTTTTAATATGTTAACGGCACTAGGACTAACTGGTGCCACCCTGCTCTGCCTTCCACCTGCTTTCAGCTTAACAGGGCTAATGACCACTCTTTCATATGAAGCACTCCCTGAGACTTCAGATCTACAGCATTCACTTTGAAATCATCTGTGTCTGGACCCCAGTGGGCCTTGAACGCAGGATGCAGAGGGAAACAAGGTCCCCTCTTCAGCTCTGCCAGTTCCCAGGGTCATCCTTTTTTTGCTGCCCATTCCAGTGGCTGTGTTTCAATTGCACTGGGGTCAAGTCAGGCGCAGGAGACTCAAGGCGGGGGACAAACTGGACTTTGATTTGGGCCCTGTAAGTTTCATGCTCATTTGCTACATAATGCCATGCTGAAAATTGAATGGCAACTTAGACATGACTCATCAGCGCCTGTTTTAGAAAGGACATCCCTGCTTTTCTGCTGTAAAGAACACTTTAGCCAGCCAGCCAGGCTTTGACACCAACTTGTGACAGACTGTAGGAGGTGTGCGCAGTTAGCTATGCGAACAGTAGCTGAGTACTCCCCCCCGGGTCAGGTACTCGATCACTTATAGATGAGTACTATAGGTGCAGGAGGGGGTGGCAAGTGCCAGCCAGCAGTCGGCGACCACCCGCAGGTGGCGGGAGCGGGGTCTGCCTGGCGGTGCTGGGGGCAAGGGGAGGGGGACGGGGGCGAGCGCCGCTTTTTGCAAGGGGTGCATGTGCACCCGCTTGCGCCCCTGACGTGTCGCCAGTGCTGGAGACGGCCCTGCCCATGAGGGTTTCTTAAGATCCCGCTCGCCAAAGCCCTGGCTGGGATGGACGATGCAGCGCGGCGGACCCAGAGACGCCTCCCGGGGCGGCAAGACCGGCCCGAGTCCCCGCCCGAGGGGGGAGGAGGGGCGGGGCGAAGC